TTGATAGTGTTAGAATGGTAATGCATGTAATGTACGCAAGAAATAGGTGTTTCATTGTGAAAAATGTGCCAATTAATGTTCAACAGCTTACCCAGCGGTTTACGGCCAGTTTCCGCAGCCGATCCCTCCGCCGATGTCCACCATTGCGCCCGCGCAGAGAGATGGTAAGTGGAACCTCCAAGAGGGTCCGCTACTAATCCTAAATTAGTTTAATTTTCAACTACTTAACCTAAACACTTGGTCGGGATCGCTTTAACTATCCGATGCATGGTTTAATGAAAAGATGTAGCTCTAAAGCACTTGCTGCTATTTCTAAAACAAAGCAATAACAATAGTTGAAATGATTCCACCCAAGTTACCTAACTTCAACTCGTACACTATCGTTTAGCTTCTGTCTGTTTATTGTTCTATGTAGACTACTTTGAACGTTTTCCAGCGTTAATAATAATCAGAATATCGAAAACAAGTTCAAGTATTTGCTAACCTAATCTCATTTACAAATGCTGAAAAACCGTTTAATTAAATATATATAATTGTTGCTTTTAAGCTAATAATAATTGTTCGTGATTATCTAATGCACAGTACAGTGACATACTTTGAGCTTTAATTATAAAGTGTAATATTTGGTCAATAACAATCGCAGTCTTCACAATGTTTCATAAAACAGTATTGTCGCTGTACTTTGTAAGTAGTTCGTGTTGTGTGTACACTCTGAATGCTTCGATGTCTTACGAAATGTGTTGTTGTTGCTCTTTTACTGGCTAATGTTCTCGTTTCTTGTGTGATAAAGCAACTTGTACCGTCATGACATCCCTGATTTTTAATCGGCTCTGTAATTACCTAGTCAACTTTTTTCTCGCCTATATTTCTAATTGTGGAATTAATATGTTTTTTATTTATGCACAGACTGCCTGTAACTTATTCGACCGTTTCATCTACCTAAAGTCATTTGAAGTGCTCCAAACACGCGAGTGATTCACCACTTGGAAAAAAACAAAGGGGCAGAGAAAGTATTAAAAGTGTCCAATCTTAAAGTCCGCAGGCAGACCTGTGAGTTCTTTAAAGATTTTTTGATGTTTCCAGGCTGCTCGATTTCAGGCCCCGAGGGCTGCAACCTCTTCATCTACCACCTCCCTCAGGAGTTCGGCGATACGGAACTGATGCAGATGTTTCTGCCGTTTGGGAACGTCATCAGTAGCAAAGTCTTCATAGATCGGGCCACTAATCAGAGCAAGTGTTTCGGTAAGTTTTTTTACCAAATCAAATTGTTTTTACCGATACCATCTCAGCCATCTGTGACCTTGGGACCTGCAAAAGGTCCGAAACGTTGGTTTGATTGAAACATTTTATGACCTAGTAATACGCAATTTAGATCCGGATAAATAATTTTACTTCCACAATATTTAAAGAAAACCAATGAGGAAGTATTGAGAATGGTAAACAAGAAAAGAAAGATCCTCAATACTAAAGAATATAGACGCGGGAAAATGATTGGAAATTTTATACGACCCGACAACTTCTTTAAGACCATTTTGGAAATATCGAGGGGAAGAGGAGAAGAGATCAATCTAGGCGCAGTTACATAGACCAAAGGAAAACGCCGGTGTCGTACTTTATAAGGAGGTCAAGCTGGCTTCTAAGAGAGATGATTGGAGTATGCTCCACCGACAAGAGTAAAACTCTTACGTTTCATAATGAATACTTATTAGATAAAATTGCAAGTCCATCTTTTTACAAAGCAAAACCTCATCGAAACTTAAAAAAATGTAAAACAACTAGTTTGTTATAATTATTATAAATACAAAAGTAGTATACTTTAAAAAAATCCTTCTATCCGACTGGATTCGAATCAGCGTCTCCTACCAAACCGTGCTAGACGCTAAGCCAACTAAGCCTGTTCGATCTTTGTATTAATAGTTATAACAAACTAGTGGAGTAATTTCACAAAAAAATAATTGAATATCGTTGTGGTAAAACATCTTAAAGTTCAATAAACTTAATTACAACAATTACGACTTTAAGTACGAATAACAAAGGTGGAAATATGTTGTTGCAGGTTTCGTATCATTCGATAATCCGACGTCGGCTCAGGCGGCAATCCAAGCGATGAACGGCTTCCAGATCGGCATGAAACGGCTGAAGGTGCAGCTGAAACGGCCCAAGGACGCCAACCGGCCTTACTAACCCTAGACGCCGTCCCTGCGCGCTCACGACGTGCCCGAATGGTAAGCATCCTCCCTTGTTAGCGTTGCCAGGCGTCCTGGTGCTGACTTTTTGGAGACACGTCCAGCCAAATTAGATGGTGTCCGGCTTGTCGGGCTTTTGTCCGGCTGTCGTTCGGGCGAGTGTGGCGTCTCGACCCAATAATAAGATTATTAATAACAAAGAAGACTGATATATTTAGTTTTGTTTTTGTTTTATAAGAATTTCAGATTTTTTGATAAATAATCTAAAAACCTGATTTTACATTGTTTTAAAACACACAAATTTATAAAAAAAAAGACACAAATCTAGAAAACTCACCAACTTCGGATGTCGCTTGTGATAAATGATAACGCACACACTCAACATAGCCTCGCGCTAAGGAAACCCTAAACCACAAATTACACCCCAACTCACGAGAGAAATAATGTAGGCCATACAAATATTTCTCCCGGCCCGGGAATCGTACCTGGGGGTCGACTCTCGATATCCGTCCGAAACAATTACTGCCAAATAAGCAATACTTGACCAAATGAAAAGACGCGTGATGCGAATGAAGCTTCATACTGGATACTTGTCTTTTAATTTTGTCGAATATTACTTATTTGATAGTAATTGTTTCGGACGAAGATCGAGAGTAGCCCCCCTGGGACCTCTGCGTGGCAGTCCGGCATGGTAACCGTTCGGCCACGGAGGCAGTTATGGTAATGATGTTAACCTAGAGATAAAATGATCCGAGTGACATTTCGGACCGTCATTTTTCGGATTCGGAATACGAATCGGACTCTTAAACGGTACTCTGAATGTAGGGTGTCCTTTTTACTCAAATGTCAGTAGAGCTCCTTGTGAAAGAGCTCGTCCAAGGAATTATTGCTATCTTACCTATTTCTACCGTCAAGCAGTAATGGTCACATTACTGTGTTCGGGTTGTGACGGGTAAGAGTGCTGATGAAATTCCAATCTTTCTCCATTTTTGCGTAACGTCTTTATCGCCATAAGTAATCAATAATAATCACCTCATTCGTCTACAATTTCACGATATTCTTCGTTTTGTTGCAGGAGGCGGCCGGTAATGAACCACTTGCCCGTGGCGCGCTTGTTCGCGTATTATCAACAATTCTAAGGAATTTAATACACGTTTATTGTATAGTGAATATCATACTTACCTAACTAAACAATCACGCAAGCCCACTCGGCGAGTATACTAAATTAGTTAAAGTAATTTATTAAATCAGCGCGTAGGAATGCTTCATTCTTATCATTATCGATTAATCATTAAATTACTCTATTATATTATTATATATACAATTTATTAACTTTGATTAAATTATTATTATTATTATAAAATGACACGTTATAAAAATTTTGTCATTCGTAATCATACTTCTACTTCTAAGTACTTAACGTTTAACTGAAACTTTTAACATAAATTTATTATACCTAGTTATTTGCTTGAACTAAGCCAAACTGAATTTATTAAGTAAGTTGAAAATGTAAGAAAAAAAATGTATTTTAATTATTGTATATTGCAAGAAGTTGTTGGTGCGGGGGCTGCGCGCGCGCGTCTTATTGATTTTTTTGTTGATTGAATACTGTAGCGTAGAGGCGTTGGTTATTCTGCGTCTGTGGACGACGCGCTTTCCGTTATTTGTTTGTTTTGTTGAAGTAGGCTAATATCGAGACGCGGTGCCGCCCCCGCCCGCCGCGGCCGCTGTTGTCTCCCTCCGAACTGATCACACTAATGTAAGTGCTCGGAATAGATCACTATTGGAGTATATATGAATATCCTATATTTTGTTAAATTATATTCTGTGTGTGTCATGTTACATAAGCTAAGCTGGGGCGTGCCGCTTGTATGTTAAATGCTAACCTGTTGTACCTTAAATTAGTTAGACACTAAATGCTAAATTGTAAATTGGCTAATGTAAACACGCCGACAATAGACGAAGACTCGCTGGATGATTTTGCTATTCATCAATCCACCGTTTTAATAATACCATTTACATACCGAATGATTGAAGATTTCTTTCGCTGTTTTTCGTCACAGTCTCACATACGCCAAATGTAATTGCCATAATTATGTGAGTATGACGAACTTAAACCAATTCCTCCATCATAACTGGTCCAATAGTATTTCCTAATGTAAATATGCGATAACTTTTTGTTGTACAATCATCCAGGAGTCTTCAATTCTTGGCACGCCCGGCAACACGTACCCACATGTCAGTGACCATAATGACGGTGTTGTTGACAAAAATATTAAATGTTGTATCTAACGCTGTGTACAAATCAAAGTGCACTTCAACATAAGATCTTAGGCCTTCGTTTCGAAAGAACGTGTTATTATGTGTTGTAAATTCCAAATGGGCTGTGATATAAAAAGTATAATATCAACATAATGGACTGTACAGGCCGTTCGTCTCTGTATTGCATATATGTGTAAACGCTCTATATTATTATATACTGTTCACATACTATGCTCCTTTCATACAACTATTGCAGACTGCACATTTGAAGACAATTGTAGTTTTATAAATTTGGAAACACCACCAGTATCCAAACACCGCTAGTCTTTATGCTAAAGGAAAAAAATCTGGAATCCGATGTATGTTCCTGGAAATTTTCATTACAAATTGACTATTTATTTTTCTACAAGCCCACGAAAAATTCGGAAAATACCTCGAATTCTGGATACGCGTCTTTTAACCACAGGAAAGGCATAAACTAACATTCAAAATGAACACTTATTCCCAAACTTTAAAATGCAATACAGCATAACATGTGAACGGTTTTCTTTATTTCGCGAACGCGATGTCAATTCTAATGAGCGTGCTTTCCCGTGTTTATTTTTTGTGCATTCGTGTGTGTGTCTATACATATACATATTATAATACTATTGTTAAGGTGTTAAATACAATAACTGTGACTTTACGCCCAGGGAGACACCAGTGGGGCAGCGAGCTAACAGATAAAGAAATTAGTGTAATTTCTACAGACAAAAATAGATTCATAATCAAAAACGTACCAATATAAATATAAAAAATACTGAGATACCTTAGATATATTGCGCGCGCGCGGGCGGGCTTTGTAGCCTGTGTGCCGGTACTAATTTTGTAGATAGACAATACTGATTGCGCTCTACGGAACCGCACGGAATGTTCTAGTAGGAGTGGTGTACGTCGGTTTCGTCATGTGTCGGGTAAAGTGAGCTGCTACAGTGTTGTGGCTGTCGCCGAGTGTCCTTAGCGATTCCCGTAGAACCGTGCAGGTGAACGTGAGTGTCTAGCAGTTGCCGCGTGCGGCAGCGTCGCCGCGCCTTGGGGGCAATCGGCCGCCGCCCGCCTCTAGTCAAATATTACACTCACCACAAGACATAGAATTTTATATTTACACAAATAATTATATTATATTGATATAGTATTCTAGTTTTAGGCGTTTATGATTTATGATAAGCCATGTTGTACAAAACGTACACGTAACATGAAAATTACCTATTAAGTAATTGTAGTTCTTTTCTCTGAAAGTCACGATTGTGCAATATGTTGTTACGCTTTTTAAAAATTGTTTTAGCATCGTTTTGTTTTCTAAAAAAATCTTTAATTTATTGATATTTCTTTGTTACCATTTTATAGGTTATTCGTCAACGTGGTCTCGTTTCGTAAACAGACTGGAGAGCCGGCCTCGACAAACGCACTAGGGGAAAAATAAGAATTTTAGAATGGAATTTTTATGCGGCAGCCCCATCCTGCTCGCGGAAGAACTTAGTTAGAACTCACGTCTCTCGGGGTAATAGGGTGGAATGATTGGTGATCGGGCTGCTATAGCGACAAGAATCGCGGGTTAGGTCGTCTCAGGGGTAACGTGGCGCACAAAGGCCGAGCTCGAGTCGAATGTAATGAGTGGAGTGCATTAGTGCAGCGAAGCGGCGACGGCGGCAGTGCGGGGGGCGCGGCTGCCCCAACCACAAGGCGGGCAGAGTCGCGCCCGCCCTCACCACGCCGCGTGTTACTTAGGTTACAGATAAATCGTTGCCAAACCGGAACACGTATACTTAGTATATCGACTAACGATAATATCACCTCGTGGGTAATGTAGGAATAATGCGCCCGCAGAACGCCGCCGAACGGCGACGACCTCGGGTAAGTTAATAATATTGTGTACTTATATCTTTATACTGATTAAAATTAAAAATTCCCTAAAGATATATTGCGGTGACGCAAAAGTTTGTAATAGGTTTAACGAGTCCTCTCTGAATGTAAAAAAAACAATCGCCCATAAAAGTGATTCTAGGATACAGGGTATGCTTTGCAATTATTTAAATGTATCTAAATGTTTTCATGTAGGCAGGTTTTGCCAACTCTCTGACTTAGACTACGGTACAATATCGGCCACCCCACGGCGGCGCCCGCGCCGCTTCATTCTCGGGTCCACTAGTCTGTCGCGACTTTTTATACTGTCTCGTACTATCGTAGTATAACCGATCCACCTCATCTCATCACGTCACTGTACCTCGCAACCGCGACCGAACAAATCTTCGCTTCGCTTTATGTTTCCTATGATACTGGCTACGGCCGCGCATCTTCACCCCAACTTGACGCCACTTTTGTTCCTGACGTATCCCCATTCATACTTACCGCGAGTGCCACATCAGACGGCCGCCAGCGCCGTGGCTTAACCCCGGAAAACACGCTGGCTATATTAATTTTAACACAGCTTGTGTTAAGAAGTATATTCATCGTCACGTCTGCCCCAACGGCGTTCGTTATTCGGTCACTCGCTTGGACAGATCGGAAGAACAACATTATTAGTAATACGAAATCGAATTTCTTAAAACTATTTAACTTCTAAAATTTTATAAAATATTTATATCGTTCCCATTCTCTTAATTCGTCGTAGCTCTCGCGTAGGCGTGAACAATTTCGAAGCACTCAAGAACGTTACGATCATTTGTATTGGTTGGTATGCAAATCGAAGTGGGATCGTTATTTAGGCGAAATAGTTAGATCATCGGATGGTGCACGGTGCAACGTGGCACTTGTACCGTGTACAGTCCGTGCCTCGAGATATCTGACCTCCCAACAGACCTTTTGTTTCAGAGGGCATCTGACACATTCAACAAAAAATTGTTAAATTAATTTCATCTTTATAACGACGAGGACCTCCGTGATCGAGTGGTTTGCACGTCGGTTTTCACGATGTCACCATCTCTGAGGACTCGGATTCGATCCCCTGTGGGGTCAGTATAGAAAACTAACTTTTCTATATCGTCTTGGGTCTGGGTGTTTGTGGTACCGTCGTTATTTCCGATTTCCATAAGCTTTAGCTATTTACTTGGGATCAGAGCAACGTATGTGATGTTAAAAACGTGTGTTTTAATTAAAAATGTTCATTAATTTACACAATACTTTAAATGATCATTAATTTACAATATTAATTTCATTAAAAAAAGTCAGGAGTTATATCAAAATAAATTTTAGAACTGGCGAGGTAAGTATTAAGTTTGTTTAACACTTCACATTATCTGCTCAGAACCAAAAGGTCGTTTAGAGAATCGGGTTATTTGGTGCACCGATTGTACACTGTCCCCTTGGTTACCAAACACCGTTCGATGCTAGTAATTAAGATGAATGCCAAGCCAATATTGAAAAAACAAAACCCTAGATTTCGGAATAATTAATTAATCAATATTATATATCTATTTATGTAATAAAATATGGAGAGAGGCGCATAGTGCTTTTATGAATTGTAGGTTCTTAGTATTGAAACAAAACGATCTAGTCATATCTCTTTCTGTTATTTATTTTTTCTATCGCTTAGCATAGTTTAGCTTCAAGCACAAGTCGATTTAATTCCAATAATCTTGTAACCTTGTTTACACATCCTTATTAGGGATAGGTGCATCACTTTCTGTCCTAGCTTCTTAATGCCAAACTCAATATCCTACTATTTCTCTATATACCCTTAACTAGAATGAATACTTTGAGAGCAACCTACTTTTGGGGAAGTAATTATATTGTATTATTTAATAAGTTATCCAGAATACTGTCTCGCAATTTAAATATACTTAATTTCATTCGTACTACATATAGATATGTTAAAATTAAGATTTATTCAATAATTTTATTGGTGTAGATTGGTAGAGCATGAATGGTATAACCGTTTGGTTAAGTTAGAAGTTTAAAGTTACCTTAGTAAGGGCAAGTTTGT